CTTAATAATTTTTGTGTTGGGTCCATTCGCATAGTTTTGTAGGTGTCTTTATCGCTAAGGAGGCTTTTAATTTTATCATTATATTCCGTTTTGCTCATCATTACTGTCTTGTTGCCTTTGTCTGCATCTGTAATTATTAACGAGTCCTTATGCCGTTTAATAAATTGCTTCGTATATTCAAAAACTTTTAAAATATATTTTTCTTTTGGGCCATTTGTAAGTTTGCTTTTGTACCCATGTGTTTTGGTTGCTATGTTGCTTCTCGTTGTGTCCTTTTCCCTTTCATCGTCGAGTGCCTGGATACCTTGTTCAATTTCGGCAATTAAATGAATAGGTGAGAACGTTTTCTTCGTTACCGGTAATGCGAATTTTTTCCCATAGAGAGAAGCCACCTGCTCTCTTTTGGAACAGATATGTTGGTCTTATTTATGAACCAATCCTCGTTGATTTTGAATCCATATTTTTCAAAGTTGCGGTCAATTTGTGTTTGCAGTTTATGATTGAGATTCTCCTCGGTTTTCGTTTTAATGTCCTTGAGAAATGTATTTCGATTTTCTGTTACTAGGTTAAAATCATTGAATTGCAGTTTTTTACGGAGNATTTTCGTTTTAATGTCCTTGAGAAATGTATTTCGATTTTCGAAAAAAAAATATCGATTCAAAATCAACGAGGATTGGTTCATAAATAAGACCAACATATCTGTTCCAAAAGAAAGCAGGTGGCTTCTCTCTATGGGAAAAAAATTCGCATTACCGGTAACGAAGAAAACGTTCTCACCCATACATTTAATTGCCGAAATTGAACAAGGTATCCAGGCACNATATCGATTCAAAATCAACGAGGATTGGTTCATAAATAAGACCACCATATCTGTTCCAAAAGAAAGCAGGTGGCTTCTCTCTATGCGAAAAAAATTCGCATTACCGGTAACGAAGAAAACGTTCTCACCCATACATTTAATTGCCGAAATTGAACAAGGTATCCAGGCACTCGACGATGAAAGGGAAAAGGACACAACGAGAAGCAACATAGCAACCAAAATACATGGGTACAAAAGCAAACTTACAAATGGCCCAAAAGAAAAATATATTTTAAAAGTTTTTGAAGATACGAAGCAATTTATTAAACGGCATAAGGACTCGTTAATAATTACAGATGCAGACAAAGGCAACAAGACAGTAATGATGAGCAAAACGGAATATAATGATAAAATTAAAAGCCTCCTTAGCGATAAAGACACCTACAAANATGTAAAATGTACCTTGCTACAAGCTTTCTAAATTCATCGGACAAATCTAAAACACGTAATTTCCAAAGAATATAACATCAAAAATTCGTTTGAACTCAAAGAAAGGCTTAAATACATAAAAATCGAAGAAAATTAAATCCTTATATCTTTTGATGTAGTGTCCCTATTTGCCAATATTCCAATACAATTGGCAATGAATACAATTATGAAGCAATGGCCGTCCTTGCAAAATCATACAAGCCTTTAAAGAAAACNTGTAAATAACAACATAATTAATGACATTTAGTTACAAACAAAAAAATATTGACATCAAACAGAAACACCAATTGGCAAGCACTGCAGCTACAGCTCCCAGACTATATGGCCTTCCAAAGATACACAAAGAAAATACTCCTCTTAGACCAATTTCCTCTTCAACAAATGTACCTTGCTACAAGCTTTCTAAATTCATCGGACAAACTCTAAAACACGTAATTTCCAAAGAATATAACATCAAAAATTCATTTGAACTCAAAGAAAGGCTTAAATACATAAAAATCGAAGAAAATAAAATCCTTATATCTTTTGATGTAGTGTCCCTATTTGCCAATATTCCAATACAATTGGCAATGAATACAATTATGAAGCAATGGCCGTCCTTGCAAAATCATACAAGCCTTTAAAGAAAACAATTTTTACGTGCCTTGGAATTTTGCTTACGGGACAACAACTATTTTGTTTATGATGGTACCTATTACCAACAGGTACATGGAATGCCAATGGGAAACCCTCTATCACCGACTGTAGCAGATATTGTTTTGGACAAAATACTAGACGACAGCATTGCTGAATTGAGAACCAAGGACATATATATCAAATACATCAACAAGTATGTAGATGATATATTTGCTATTGTAAATAAAAANCAAGAGGCTAAACTTGTTTAAGATTTCGACCAAGTCGTCCGGCAGGGGAGTGCAAGGAATTCCGTTTCTATAGGATACCAAATCGCTTTTCGCATATCTATTTTTTATTTTAGTTAACCGTATGTTAAACAATTTCAAGAAATCACGTCCAAAGATGACGGGCACTAACATCTCATTATCAGGCAAAATATTTATTTTAACATTTTTTATTTCATTTTTAAATTTCACAAAACATTGTATTTCACAGAGTATATTCAACTTAAGTCCACCAATGCTGCGATAGTTATGTTGCGGATTGTTTAAAGTCACTAAGTTGTTCGGCACACACGATTGCTTCATAAAACTAGTTGGACTACCCGTGTCAAAAAGAGAAATGAATTTATTAAAGGTTGCACTCTCCCGCGGGTTGGTCTTAAAAGCAATACTTACAAAGTTAAGTGATTCCAATTCCATGAGTTCATCTTCTAGAACGGCGGCAACTTGTTGATCGGCAAACGGCTTCAAAACTTTCCTAGGATTTGTGCATGAATAGCGGTCGTGCCCCATTTTCCAGCAGCGGAAACACGAACCACTGGGTCGCATCGGATATGGGCAGCTTGGCTTTATATGTCCCCTCATAGAGCAGTTGAAGCAGAGCGATTGGCTGTTCTTCCCAGCTTCGTTGCTAACCTTTCCAGCGGCAGGTTGCTTACCGGAGGCGGCAGGTTGTTTAACGGCGACGGCAGGCGTTATACGCCGAGTGATGCTGGAGTTTGGCTTGAGGTATTTTGTGTAATATCGATTCNTGATTGGCTATTCTTCCCAACTTCGTTGCTAACCTTTCCAGCGGCAGGCTGCTTACCGGAGGCGGCAGGTTGTTTAACGGCGACGGCGGGCGTTATACGCCGAGTTATGCTGGAGTTTGGCTTGAGGTATTTTGTGTAATATCGATTCACTAACCTCTTTAGCTCATCCAGTGACTGCGCCGGCATAAGCAAGTTGATGTTGTTGATTTTGTTTCCGATACCGTCGAGAATTAGGTCGATAACATCGGTTTCCCGGATGCCGCCCTGCTTCGCCAAAGATTGCATGGTCAAAATATAGCAGTGCAGGGACTCTTCAAGGTGTTTCCACTTCCGCTCGGTCAGTGTTCGATAGACGTCCTGGCGACTGACTGCACTGTCGAATTCTTCAATGACCGCCTTCTTTAGGTCTCGAGAGTTAAGAGCAGACGTTGTGGTTAGGAACACTCGAGCTGTTCCCTGTAGCGAGCGGCGTAGGCTTAGCAGTTTGAACTGATCGTCTGCAATGACAGTTCGCATAATTTCTTCAAAGTCCTCAAAGAAATGGTGCACTGACCGTGTGGAGTTATCACCAGTAAATTTTGGTACAGCGTGTTCGATGTCCGCGAACGAGGCTCTGCATCCGGTGGGCCTACCAATCGAGTTTTCCAACTCATAAATTTGTTTTTNTCCCTAAGCTGTTGATCCAAGGCATTTCCAGTATTATTGTGCAAAGCAGCGGAGCAAGTGTCGCCGGCTAAGCAATTGAAGCCGTCGGGAATGCTCGCAGCAGCAGAGCTTTCATAACCCAAGGAGCTGTTAGTGGCGGCGACGGCGGTTTTGGCAAGAATATTTGCGGCAGAGGATCTTTCGGTATTGGCGGGAATTTCAACGACGGCAGTATTAGTGGCGGCAGAGTGTAAGGCCACGGCAGAATTATTGGCGGCAGAGTGTAAGGCGACGGCAGAATTAGTGGCGGCAGAGTGTAAGGCGACCGAGAAGAGATGTAGAGATGGTGGCGCCGGAAGCGGCAGAAGGCTTAGCGGCAGTAATATTAGCGACGGCAGTAGTATTAGTATTTGTGGTGACGGGCGTAGCAGCGGAATATTCACCGACGGCGGTATTAGTGACGGCAGCGCTGCTTTCGCAAACATAACTGGTACTTCCGTTAGGGCCCAAAGTACCGGTGGCGGCAGCTGTACGATGGGCAACGGTATCCTCAGCGTATGCACTAGGGCCAGCAGTAGGGGTAGACCTACTTGGCTTTTCATTTCCCATGGCACTGGCTATGGTAGCGTCGTCGTCCGGAGCTGCCGAATCTTCCATGTCGGAGATGTTCTCCTCATCCTCCTCGTAAGGCGACTCGCTGATGCGGTGTTCAGCATAAAGACGTTTTAATTGGGCCACCGTGGCCGTCAGTGGAAAATTCACGCCAGCCGCCATAAGTGCATCGGCGAGATGCTGCTTGGTAAGGCGTTGTGGCATTTTTTAGTCTTTTTCAGGTTTTAGCTTTTAAACTTAACAATGGGTACTTGGACCCCACACCTGAAGCTTTTACGATCGCAAAAATCACAATTTTATTTCCAAAAGAGAACTTGTTNGATCGCAAAAATCACAATTTTATTTCAAAAATAAGAATTTGTTCTAGAAGCGCGTGTCGATTCTGACTCGCTTTCGTCCAGAAAATTCTCTATCTATATAAGAGAAAGCGAGAGAAAAAGGAATAGCAGAGAAGGAAAAAGGAAAAGGAATGTGATAGGCAGGGCTGCAGTCAGGATTGTCAATCCCCCAAAGGATTGCCAATCACACAACAGGGTTGCATTCGAGGTTAGAGATGGAAAAGTGTTAACAGTATACACATTTGATGTTGCCTTTTTTTGCCTTTTTGAAGATATTTGCCTTTTTTTGCCTTTTCTACCTTTAAAAAAAAGATTATAGCATTTCCATTTTTTGTTTTAAGACAAATTTGACAAATTGGTGTTTGTATCAACTTTCGTCGAGCGCACATTTAGTACATTTAAGGCTTTTCTTCGTGAAAATCGAATGAAAATGCTGCCAGAAAACTTCAAAATGCATCTTGTGGTTCAATGTTACTACAACTATACAGATTAAAGTTTTATGAGTTAGAAACTCGAAAGGATAAACTAGTCAAAGATTCAAAGTACAAATTTTTCATATAATGAAACTAGTTCATAGTTTTTCTCTTTTTACTTGTAATATAAACATTTCTAAAATAAATGTATTTTTTGATTGTTCTTCGTATTTTCTGTCTTTTTTTAGTGCCTTATTTTGCTTTTTTTGCAATACCTAGGGCCTTTTCCTGCCTTTTTCGCTATTTTGTTTTGACTTTTTTGCAATACCTAGTGCCTTTTCCTACCTTTTTCGCTATTTTATTTTGCCTTTTCCAGCCTATTTCGTTATTTTATTTTGCCTTTTTAATAGGTTTTTAGGTCCTAAAAATCCGTTCCCTGCTAATAACACTAAAAAACAAAATCGCAGTATGGTAGTTTTTGCAAATTTTATATATAAAAAACTAATATAGCGAGTTTTGAAACAGGAACTGTTACATAGCTAGCTTTTTCTTAGCTTTTCGCATTCTCTCTTCCATGAAGATTGGTCTACTTTTTTTACGACGTCTTCCACTAGGCACCGAAACTACCACGTTTTCTTGCAGTTTTCTAAGTTCATCAGAAGATGGAGACTTTCGAACTTGTATAAATACGTACAATAAATGTTATAGCGACTTTTGAAAGTGTATATACCTATACCGACAGTAAGTATTATAGCGACTTTTGCTAGTGTAGCTAACATTCCAAAAAATATCTACAATCGACATTCTGAATATAGTAAGCAAATTCAAAAACCAATTTGGTGGAAAAAAGCTCATATCTGAAGGAGTCATTAAAGACTCAAAGACTCGTTAGGCTATAACGAGTATATTTTAAGAACTATATATAAACTAGGCTTAATAAGCTGTTAGACATAAATAAAATAAAAAAATAAAAAATAAAATCCGGATAGTATGGATATCCGGTTAATATTCGTTTGTACAATTATTCGGATATCCGGATTTACGAAGATCCGGTTAATATTCGTATTTTCGGATATCAAAAAAAAAAGCCAAAAAACTGATTAATCATATTCGGGAAATTAATTATGACCCCGACAGAGTGAATTAGCTCTTGACGGACTTGAAGTTGACCCTTTGTTTTGTATCGTTTTGTCACAATAAAAACAAATGCCACTATTCTTGTCATCACTTTTTTAGAAATGCTACAATTTGGTAAAGCATTCACCACGAACAAAAGTATCATAACAGTTTTCATTATTCTGTCCATGATATTTTAATGCGATGAAAAAACTCTGGCGGTCAATTTTATATTTTTTTTGTATTTTTACGAAACGATACTTTAATTTCCCAATACCAGGCGCTCATGCATATGAAGTAGCAAGGTTTCTAAACGCATAAATTTGTTTGTTGAACTTTTTAATTCGTTGGTAGAAGTCTTTGAAATTATAATGTTGGAAATTTTAAAATTTATACAAACAATTTTGTACGTAGAAATAGAAAACTTGTTACTACACATTTATGAGCACCTGGTATTGGGAAATGAAAATATCGTTTTGATAACGAAAAATCCGGATATTCTAATAGCCGAGTATTATCCTAGCTTCCAGAGTAACCGGATTTTTCATTTAGGAATCCGGATATCCGAATACCTGGATTTTTCGTTATCAAAACGATACACGCTGGGGGTAGCAGAGGAAGAGGGTGGCCCCCACTGCGATGGAAAGACCAACTGGAGTCAGCTGGCGCAGAAGTGAAACAACTGGCGTGCATTGTTGGACGCGGCCAAAATCGCTTAGGCGGTTATAGCGCCAAATAAGAAGAAGAAGTATCAGGATTGGTTCCGGATGCAGATGTACATGCGTATGGGGAAAGTTTTATCTTTAATCACCGTGGAGTGGACACCCATTATTGTGCATCACAAGCTAATGCGAGAAGGCAAACCCCCAACAATCCGTAGTACGCTTTCTTATGTCCATTTCTTTCTTATACAACTACACCTTTCTTATATACAAAAAATACAGCGTGTAGAATTTTCTACATCTTGTAATCGTTATAAAACTTATATGAACCTAAATAATCTTTTAATTCAACAACTTTTTCCTATAATTTTCTGGATCTAATGAAGAATTAATATGAATATCCTTACGATCGAACAATGCGTGTTCTCTCCATTCGTTACCGAGATTTTGCAAGTTCAAAATACATACATAAGATGAAAGTATAACGATGGAATGAAAAAAATTACCGATAACATTTTGAATATTAGCAGCAAATGCAGATGTGCTTAAGAGCGAAAAATACCACACAAGCGGCTGGACAAACCAAGCGAAATATCCCTTTCCTTAAAGCTATTTATGTTGTGTATGGGGGTGTTTGAAGGTTTGACAAGCCGTTTGAGGGGAAATGTGAACAAAAATCTAAATTTTTTGATTTTCTGGCCGCCATGTTGACGTTTAACCAAACCGCTTACGTTGTGTATGATAAAATAGCCTCATTCGCAACGAAATTTTTACCGAATGAGAGCGCATGAGAGAAAAATCAAAGAAAACCAAAACCTTTTACATTGTGAACCGGAAGAAAACTAAAATGCTTTTGCTTAAACGAGTCATGTTTGCATGGTGTATGACGAAATGGGAAAAGTAGGTTTGAAGAAT